CGTAGAAACGGACAGACTTTTGACTGAAATTATAGTAAGCTCTGCAAGGGTATAAAAACTGATTAATATTTGGCGTTCAGGCGACGGATGGTTAATGAGCGGCAACAGTCAAGATGAGCGGTTAAGTGGAAGAGTGGAAACACTCATATTTCGCTTGTAATTCATTTAAATGAGATGCACTCAACCTGAAATGCAGTGGGGGCTGGCAAAGAAGCCGATTAGCGGTTGGGTTAAAATGCGTTCGTAATTGGTCAGAAAGGGCCAACTGGAATCGTTGAGGGGCTCTGATGGGATTTTGTGGTCATTAAGCTTTAGTTTCAGTTCAGCAGTGTACCGCCCTTCGGTGCTCACTCAGTTGGGTTCATCCTTTAATGTGGGAAAGTTAATGAGATTAGGATGAGCCAGAGCTTTGGTTTGGAGGTCTGTCTGCGACTAACCGCAGTTTTACAACTGAGGAAGACTTCTTAGACCTTATCGGTGCATAAATCAATTGAATTAATAAATTAACAAGCATGGCCTACTCGCCGTGCAACATGACCAACACTCCGAACCAGCTCCATCTAGTTTCATCTTGCCGGGCTTGTAGTATCTCAATTAATTATTTGTGTGCGGTCAATATGTGTGCGGGTGTGGGCGTGTGCAGCAGCGGATATGCGGCAGGACTACCATAATGTTGCCTGCCACATTTTAATTACACATTAATGTGTGCACACCGAAACCCAAAAAGTTGTACGAACTAACATTTTGTTTTCTGCGGTTTTACAAATGTGATAACATCAACAGTAATGAACATAAAATAAATACCGGAAACAAAACCCTCTAAACGTAAAAGAAATTAAACGAAAACTAAATACTCTTTAAAATAAAAAGATTTCATGTAAATAATTTTTTTTTAATTCCCTGTCTATGGAATAGAGGGCATCCCAAATTTTAGACTAACTATAAAATTAATTTATTATCAGAAAAAAACTTGGTTTGGTTAAAAATTAATTTCTAAAAAATACGATACTAATTCAGCCTTGCTTGATTTACCAAATTCTTATTGAACTCTACAGTGTAAAAGTAAATTTAATTTGCCCACCTATTCGACTATATCAACATTATTATTTCACCAGGGTATAATACTATTTAAATATGCTTTTAACTTTTACTGGCACTCTGGGGCTAACAACAGCAAACTTTCGGTTCAACTGTAGTTAAGCAAATAAGCAAAAATTACAATAAATTAAATAATTAATGTAACTCGATGTTCAACACACCGACAGTGAACGAGGGTGGCACGTTAGGGCGGAGTTTGTGTGAACTGCATGTTAATTAATAGTGACTGGGTAACACGACATGCCGACCAATTAAAATTAATACACCAATAAAGCAATTTGATCAATAAAGACACCGCGGCAGCCGCACGCCAAACAATGAGCACATATTTGTATCCTGCGGTTAAGCTGCAGTCTCTGTCATGGTTTTGACATGGAATTCGGAATCAATAAGCGCAGCATAGAAGGCATCTCGAATATGCCGTCTATGCGGCGTCCAAAATTATGCAACACAAACATTTTTCTCTGAATTGCCGATGGGCTAGAATGGATTGAGGGACACATGGCGTATGCATTATGTACAGTGCACATGCCAGCATACGAATGCCGAGCACTTAATTATTTTTTAACACACTTTTTAACGATATATATTTCGTTCCGTTTCGCAGTAAATAGTTTCAGGGGGAGCTGAATATGTATGAATATATATTTTAACACATACACTTTTTTTGTTAAGTTTCGGGGCCCTCTCCGCTGTTTGTTTGCATTGGTAATGAGTTTACTTTGGCTGTAAGTTGCGCAAACAGACCGCCGGCTCACCTCGGCCTGACTTCATGTGGTTCTCTGTGGCTCAGGGTGCTGCAGCCAGCGATGCCCCACCCAGAAATTGCTTGTGGGTCACGTGGAGGAGCGGAGCAGAACTTGTGCATTAAACTTTCGTTTTATTGTAAACTTCTGTCAACAAAAATCTTTTTGCCTCTCAAATAAATTGTGTGAGCGCGCGTGGGCTGGCCACATGTGTTTTTAGTTTTTCGGTTATTTCTGCAAATTGCTCTGCGGTCTCGCTCTCTAACTTTGCAAAATATAAAAATTTTAATTAGTATTAAAAAATAAAACGATGTGCAAATATGGTGCCAGCACGACTGTCCGGTGTTTTAAGGCCTCTACTAGCAACACTTTTACGACCGGCCATAAAAGTCAGCGAAATATTTGTGACTCACAGCGTTTTAAAGCGTCTTTAATAAACGAAAGAGAAAAGGAAAATAAATCAACGCTGCCGGACTGAGGTTGTTTGCCTTATCAGAGAGGTTTCACTTTGTGTGAGGGGTTAAACATGAACAACATCCTGATAAGCTTGGTCAGGTGCTGACCTGGCTTTACTTTGATACCGCGATAAGCATCTGGCGCCGGCACATAAATTACAGCACAAAGGAGCTACAGCTATCAGTATCTGTTTGAAGCTGGCCGCCCATTATGCGGATATCAATTCATTAAATGATGCGCGGTTCAATGAAATTAGCGACCCACGACGGTGTTGACAAGCCATCGTTAAGTAGACAATTACCAGGACACACCAGCGCAAAGAACTTCAAACGGCCCAAACAAAAAAAAACATGTCAGAGAGCGGAACTTACCAGTGGGTCCCATGAAAACAAAATCCGCCCCTAAGTAGCAATACTTATGACATAATAGCTTTTGTCAAACAGTGGGGCGAATTCGAAAACTGATAAATAAATACAGCCAAAAAATAAAAATATGTAATTAACATTTGAAAAAGTGCATCATTGAATCTATGAAAAAATCAATACATGCAATACATAATGTATTCGCAACGATAAGTTAATTTAGATTACATCAATATGCTTCATAATTCAATATAAAAATGTTAATAGCAAGGAATAATAACCAATTAGGGTGTAACATTAAGTTGATTTAAACTAAACACATAAAGAATAATTAATTCTGATTTTAGTTTAAGCCTGATAAATGCAATTTCATAGTTTTGTATGTATCTTGTAATTTGTATGTTCCACCCGTTACTCCAATGTTTCGGAACACTGTTCCAGTCCAATCCTGACTCCTCACTATCCTCCTCCGCGCCAACTTCGTCTTTAATTTTTCTTGCTTCTGCGGGTGCTGTTTTTGTTTTTATTTTAGCCATATTAATGTATACCTTTCTTTAAATGTATATGTGTGCTCGGGCATTTTAGGTATATTAAAAAATAACAATGTTATTATTGTGATAGCCCACTTTTCACAGGGGCCCCTGTATTTGTTTGCTCATGTCAATCTCGTCCAAACAGGTGGAATAGCAATTTGACAATGTTTTTCAATTGAAATAATTTAGATTTGCTTTTTTGCTTAAAAGCAAAAACCACTTAGTAGGGCTTATTAGTGGAGTATGTTAATAAGAGACGACCTCCCGTCGAGTGTCAATAAGCCAAACACTTTGACCTGTTTGATTTGCACTATTGCGTGTGCCTGTGCCAACATTTCCAATCAAAGTCGGGCTATATATCATCATCAACTGTAGTGAGGTCAGGGGCCATGGCCATTGACTGGGGGCGCCTTAACCCTGGAATGTGCCCTTAACCCGACGTCTGCAAATCCAGGCGTTGAGCTGACAGTGACAAAGCAAATGTCAAATTAATTTGATGCTTCATTTGGGTTCCTTGTCTCGCAGGAGAATGCAAAAGTGGCGTTGTACCGTGGACTTGGCTTAAAAAACAAATGGTATTTTTTCTTGAATTTTTTTAGATTTTAAAAATAAATAAATTTTACATAACGATAATTTTAAATGAGAAAGAGTCTATTTAATAATTAAGCACATGCCAGACTTATAAAAATAATTTTCTTCAAACTTACATATGTGTTGATAACGCCAGACCCGAGTGTCAATCGCGAACCTTACATTTCAGAATATAAGACTTACACTAATATTTTTGTGGGGGTTACTAAAATTTCATGTTTGGCATACTAAAAAATAAAACCAAAATAACTTATTTCTTGAAAATCTTCAGTTTTCTTGCTATTTAAATGTTAGTTCCTAAAACACGTCTGATACAAAGACGCTCACAGTTTTTTAAATGAATGCACATTATATTTCGTACAAGCAGAAACTTCAAACGGCGGTCTGTGTCGAAGTATTTAACACGGAGTTTGGTGACGGGTAGATGGCTGGACCTTCGCACACCTGGAATGCTGACTGTCAATTTCATTTACGTTTTCAATCGATTTATTGTGAGCCTAACCACAGCCCGCGCCCCTCGTCCACACGCCCATTCACACATTCACAGACAGGGGGACACGGACACTCAAAGGCAATATTGGTCAGATTTTTGACAGCTCAAATTGAATTTGCCTTTTGCTGTTGCCTTTTTGGCTGCGCCACAAAAAGTGAAATGTTGTTTGCTTGACCGCCTCAAAAGCTGAGGGAATTCGGGAAAGGTCGAGGGCGTCGAGTGTGTGTAGATGAGGGTGTGTCAGGCTGTCAAGGTGTGAACACATTTGGCTTTTGTTTGCTGCCACCCGAAAAGACACGACGATTTGTCTCACTTTTTTGATCGATTGTTCAACTCACCTCCTGTCACTGGAGTTTTGTCGCCACCCTTCGGTGGTCTGCTGGCAGAGCGCACTTTTTTATACCCTTGCATAGAATACAAATTTGGTCAGAAGCTTATACCCTGTAAAGTATATATATTCTTGATTAGAATGATTAGACGATTATATACCGTTTGCAAGCTCAGTTTAAAAGCTAGAGATATTAAGCCTTCGCAATCGTATTTTTTAAAGGTTTTCAGTTCTAGCTTAGCCAAATTTATTTTATAAATTTATTCTATACAAACATTATTTTAGAACTATGCAAGTCCTACCAAAATTATAATGCCCTCTGACAGGTTATATAAGAGCATATAAACAAAAAAGAATTCTTGGTATACATGAACAAATTAACATTAACCCGAACAGAGTATCTTAGCACCGATCCGTTTCGCCGTTCTCGCTATAAAAATCCCCGGCGCATTGAAATGTTTTACATATTTATTTTACTGCGGCTTTCTGCTCTGATTCCAATTGCGATATCACTTGGTCAACATCCACGGTGTAGCTTCGGTAGATTTTGGAGCGCAAGCAGTACTCGGACCAGAAATCGGGACTGTTAAAAGGTGGCTTAAAATGCAACTCGAAACGTTCCATCAACTTGTTGGCGAGACTTTTGACCTTTTTCGCTTCTTTCTGATCTTGTGGCTGTTCGGAGGCAAAGCGGCATAAATGGTGCACCGCTTCGACGGCTCCGAAATTGCGCACCAGAAGCAGTTCGCTAAGGACCAGCCCTTGTAGCTGCTGGAAGGCGCACAGGGCGGATGGGTAATCCTGTTTTCTAAGCCTCAAGCTGCCGCGCAGTACGTTGATCACGTGGATGAATTTCACCTCTGCGCTCAAGGACTCGCGCTCCAATCGCACCTGTCGCACATAGTTGAGCTGCCAGTCTTTTCGATTCTGATTTATTATAGTTGGCGCTAGCACATCTGGTAGTGAGACCAGCTGCCACCCTGCGCCATCACAATTAACATCCACGTCGCCAGACCGAAGCTTCTCTGCGATGCAAATCGCTTCGCGGAACTCTTCGTACTCCATATTCTGGCTTGTGATAAACTGTTCCTTGCTGCGATCGTCGTACCTCCAGATTTTTTGATAAGGAATGCTCTTGGTTTCATTAGTGCACATAAACAACACCATTCCAGTGCGAAGGTCTTTTCTTGTGAGAATGCCTGGCCAGGGCACGTAGCCCGGAGCCTGGGCAAAAACGAAATCGCGTTCCCGGAAGGAGTCTGCCAAGAGAAAGAGGGACACACTAATGAATTTTTTTGTTTCAACTAAATGTTATATTAATAGACTTGTTAAGAAAAAAGACAGTTCAAACAATTTCGTAGTTTATGAAAATCAAAAACTGATTTTATTATCATACAAATAATTATGTTATTTATTAGTTGTCCTGTATAAATTTCACCAATTCAACCTCTTTTGTATAATAATCTTATCTACCTTTCTTTCAGCTCTAAGAAGCGTAATTTGGAGTTGCTCGTTTGGTGAGTTGCTCTTTGTACACTTCATTTAAATACAATTTCAAGTTCTTATAGCTCTAAGTACATGCTCCTTAAAATGCACAGATAAACCAACCGAGAATGGCATAAATTTGTTTTCTGACAAAACTCTTAAAATGGCCTCCGCTGGCCCTAATGTCCTTTTAGTGGACTCTTTTGTTTGGCCATAAATGCCGGAATTTTACCGAGGTGGTGCTGTCCTAGCTTTTGGCCACACGTTGGACAAATGGCCGTCCAACATGTGGTGCCGGCAAAGAAGCTCCTCTTCTAGTTTGATTTATATTTATAAAGTCGCAATCATTTGCTTTCGATTACCGAGGTAATAATAAAGCGTCGTTACATTTAAATAATGACCGAGTCGGCGTTGGTTAATGGTTATGAAAATTCAATTATAACCCAGCCGCATGATGTTGGTCCATTTCGGGCCCAAGCCCTCCACTCTTCCCTCCATCACAGCACTCCGCTCTCAAGGCGGCGGTACATAAAACACGTGGCAAGATTAATTGTGGCCGGCTGTCGTACATTACAATGCGTATACGCCGTGTCGTACATGTGTAAATAAGGACAATGTTGCTACCGACTGCAGGGTGTCCTTGTGTCCTTGTGCGACTGCTTTTTTGGTCATCATATTTAATTCAAGTATAAATTTTTGCACGCATATAAAAAGGACGCGGACAAGAAGGAAGTAAAAAAGAATTAGTACGTTTCGGTTAATTTATGTGTGGCGGGTGGGGTGGGCATGAAAAATAGCCCAAGCTGGACGCAAACCAATGAGCCACAAACGACCGTGACTGCCTCTGCTCATACTCCTGCTGATGATGATGATGATGATGGGGATGGGATGGAAGTGAGATGAGGGCGATGGTAGCGGCTTTTGTCTCGTCACCCTTTTGTCCCGGTCGTGGGGCTGGGCCCTCTGTTTCGCCCAACGCCATTTGGCAGCCTTTTGTTAGTGCAGTGTTCGCGGTAATTACGAAGTGCTTGCGAGAATGGGGATTGCGTGGAGCCATGGCACCCACCTGCCTGTCGTTGTTTGCCACCCATTGCGCCACGATGACGCTTTTAATTTGTCATAATTTTTGCCATAGACCAACCATGCTTTTGGCTAATTAGCTAGTCTAGATTATTACAATCTGATGCGTTAAAGAATGTTAGACTTATACCCTTTGCCGTTCATATTTTAAAAACCAGTCAAAGTACTTTTGTTCTTTTCAGTTTAAACGAAAAGGTCAACATTTTTTTAAATGTGCTAATTTTAAAGAATTGTTATTTGTCTTAGATGATGGTTTTATACCATCGCCTGAGTGGACTAAATCATATAGCTGTCATATATCTGTTCACTTATTCGCAGTAATTCGCGCTGTTCACGCTCATCACTAAAAAAAAAAACAAGAGAGAACGCTATAGTCGGGTGCCCCGACTATCAGATACCCGTTACTCAGGTAAAGGGAGTGCGAGGGAGATGGAGATAGAAATTTTGATCACGCATAACTTTTTAACGAATGGTCCGATTTGAAAAATTTCTTCTACATTTCGATAGGTATTGATAAACACAATAAAACTGCATTTTTACTTTTCCGAAATATTTAAATTTTTAAAATCGTATATAAGCGATTGTGGGCGTTAATGGGGGCGTGGCACCATTTTAAAACAAACTTGCGCTGCGTAGGAACTCCTAGAATCTGCTTGCAAAATGCCAATCTTCTAGCTTTTATAGTCTCCGAGATCTCAGCGTTCATACGGACAGACAGACGGACAGACAGACGGACAGACGGACATGGCTATATCGACTCGGCTAGTGACCCTGATCAAGAATATATATACTTTATAGGGTCGGAAACGCTTCCTTCTAGCTGTTACATACTTTTGCACGAATACAATATACCCTTTTACTCTTCGAGTAACGGGTATAAAAAAAACTCAGCTTTTGTTATACCCTTACAAAGGGTATTATAATTTCAGTCAAAAGTTTGCAACGCAGTGAAGGAGACATTTCCGACCCTATAAAGTATATATATTCTTGATCAGCATCACCAGGAGAGTCGATCTAGCCATGTCCGTCTGTCCGTCCGTTTCTACGCAAACTAGTCCCTCAGTTTTAAAGCTATCTGCTTGAAACTTTCCCAAAAGTTGTCTTTCTATTGCAGGTAGTATATAAGTCGGATCGAGCCGGATTGGGCGACTATATCATATAGCTGCCATATAACTGAACGATCGGAAAAGCCATAACGTTGGTGTTTTTAAGTTGGGATTTTCTATGAGTTTTATTTTTGACCAATTAATCCTACCTACCGAATTTCATAAGGATCGGACGACTATATTCTATAGCCGCCATATAACTGATTGGTCGGAAATGCCATAACTTTGGTGTTTGTAAAGTTAGGAAGTTGGGATTTTCTATGGGTTTTATTTTTGACCAATTAATCCTACCTACCAAATTTCATAAGGATCGGCCGACTATATCATATAGCTGCCATATAACTGAACGATTGGAAATGCCATAACTTTGGTGTTTTTAAAGTTAGGAAGTTGGGACTTTGTATGAGTATTAAGAATACATCATATGAATAATTTTGAAGAATATAATTTACAGAATATTCTGCAAGGGTATATCAACTTCGGCTCCGTCCGAAGTTAGCTTTCCTTTCTTGTTGTAAATACGATATGCATTTCAAATTGATTCAAATAATAGTATCGCTTCCAGAAATAATGTTATTCTTGGAAGACACTTCCACTTACCAGCCGCTGAATTTTCCATGTCTTGGGCGATCAGCTTCAGATTGAATCACTTATAGAACTGAGCTGATGACAATAAGAAACGAGCTAAGTTCTTTTTAGTAATATTAACAAATGTCTCAAAGCCTGCTAGCCCCACGAAAACAAAGAGTTCGAGTAGAATATGAATTTGTTTACCCGATTCATTGTTTATTTTCACTTGCACTCGATATGTCGAATAAATAAACTGTCGAAGCTCGCGCCGACAGCATTTAAAATGAGTGCTTAATCATATATTTGCTGGCCACCAACCACACTCTTTTTAAACTTATCATAGTCCTGCCCACACACGCCACTATCAACTTAATATTTTCACCCAATAACGAGACCACCAACTACAACACAACATCCAATGAACTCTAGCCAACATCAATAGCAACAGAAACGAATGCGGAAAGCAGAACAGAAACTTCCACATTTACATCATCAACAGTAGTAACCGAACAACGAAACCACATAAATCAATGTCTGAAGGAAGGCTTGAACTCAGTCCCGCCCCGTAAACATGCCACAACAGTTTGGCCAAAATGTCTGCCACACACAGTCAAAAAATCGCACTCATATGTCAGAAACTTGCCAATTTTTCAGGTTTTCGCCTTTCGTTCTTTAGACTACGCTTAGTATTTTAGTCTTCCGGCAATCAAACCCAAATTTTTCTCCAGTGCTGGCATTTCTCCTCCGAGTCGACTGTCGCTGGGGTTGCCCCGTGTAGTGACAGAACTTGTAAAATATTTGATTTGTGCTTATTTAATTTGGGGAAATATTCGTGCACGACGCATTTGGTAAAGGCAGCTCCGGGATGAAACCACAAGCCGCACACATCCTCCTCCCTGATTGCGATAAGATCGCCTGGCCAAAGGCAAAATTCCTGGCCACTTTGCACCACCCACCCACCTGAATGCGCCGTGCAGATTTCTAGTACTGTGCGCCTACACTTGGACGTCATCATTGACAACTGATGAATTAAGTCAGAGCGCGCCGGGAGGGAGTTCAATGGAGGAGGGGTGGCTGGTGGGTGACTGCACCGCAAGTGGCGCCTCATCCTCATGGAGACGGCCATGTTCATGTTCAATTAGTGAAACGGTATTGCACTTTGTTCATATAAAATGCCTGCGAGTCTAATTAATTACTACATGATGCCAAAACCAGCTGCATTTGAGCCAAACCCGATTTGGTCAGAGTTGAATCCGTGGCTGTCATCTTGCTTCTCAACCCTCTGTTTTAATGAATGCTCCTAGCACAGCAACATGTTTTGACCATGTCTGGCAGTTGGTCTGTCGCATTATGCACACAGAAAATTAATACTCTGATTAGAATTGTGCAAATTTTGTATAAAAAATATTATCATAAAATAGTCATTATCGTAAAAAAGGCAAGTTTCAACAAAAGGGGATCAATAAAGTTGAAAAATAATTGTTTGGCAAGATAAGCCCGAATTTTATAAGAAGGAGTTCCGACATATAAATTCACAAATTTTAATTAATTTTGAGATCCAACTGTTCATTCTAAGTGGAATACAGGCAAAGACAGAGAAGGAATCGAGTTTCTATTTTGGTTAGCGGCGGAATATTTGTGATCGCATTTCACAGTATTCGTATCTGTACACGCATCAATATCAGCAGGCTGCTGGGGAATGAAAATTGCAGCCCAGAACCTGTGCTAAATGTGTATGGAAAACAGTTGAAAAGTAGAAAATTGTTGCAGCCCATTTGCATATTGAATTACATTCATTGTTGATGGTGGCGTGCGTCAAGTCCCTGTACATCCCCCGCGCTCCTGGCAGCCTTACACCCCACAATTGACAACCCCCTTCGCAGCAGGCAGGCTGGCAAAGAGTTGTCATTGTCCTTCTCGTAGCTCCTTTACTTATTTATTTTGAACAATTTTTCCACCAAGGATTTTTTGCGTATTTCATACGCTTTTGAGTGACACTGACAATACTGGCAATTGGCAACCGCCACATGCCAAGCAAATGATATAAAATATTCAGTTATGCCAACAAAAGGCAACCAAATACTATGGCCACCCCAGAATATAATGTTCCGCCTGCTAGATGTATGTATTTATACCCGTTACTCGTAGAGTAAAAGGGTATATTGTATTCGTGCAAAAGTATGTAAGAGGTAGAAGGAAGCGTTTCCGACCCTATAAAGTATATATATTCTTGTTCAGGATCACTAGCCGAGTCGATCTAGCCATGTCCGTCTGTCTGTCCGTCTGTCTGTCTGTCTGTCCGTATGAACGCTGAGATCTCGGAAACTATAAAAGCTAGAAGATTGGCATTTTGCATGTAGATTTTAGGAGTTCCTACGCAGCGCAAGTTTGTTTCAAAATGGTGCCACGCCCCCTCTGACGCCCACAAGCCACAAGCTGTGGCCACAGTTTTGATGCTATTATGAAAATTTTAATTGATATGTATTTGTTTCGTCAATACCTATCGATTGGCCTAATAAAAGTTTGCCACGCCCACTCTAACGCCCAAAAACCCATTAAACGCATAAGCCTGGCTAGCGCCTACATTTCCGCCTTTTATGGCCCGCGCCATCTAACGGATGACTTTGGAACAGCTGGCCAAGGTGCTAATTCGAGCGGCGAAAAACATACAAGAAGGCATATTTATATTAAGTTGTTTAGCTGAGTAACGGGTATCTAATAGTCGAGGCACTCGACTATAGCGTTCTCTCTTGTTTTGTACTTGCTCTTTCTGAAAATTCCAGGCTCGACTTTGCGTGGAAACAATTTTGGCTTAAAGCAAAAAACTATTGTTAGAGGTTTACAAAACTCAAGCATTCGAACAATGCCCAATTTGCATAAATTTCGCAATTTGATATAACATAAATCGATTGAAAATAAATAAAACGGGAATAAATATTTAGCAAGCAATACACAAATTTCCTTTATATTTGAGAAATACAAATTAATATTTATTTTCTAAGATCTTGAAAGTTTTAGTACGCAGAAACAAAATATGGAAATTTATCAAAATAGCATCCTCAGACTTGCAGTCTTAAATCTTTTTATTCACCTATTTTACATGTTTCGACCCAAACTTTGCTGTGAACGAAATTACATCAAGTTTTGGTCCAACTTTCTTAGTGTGCTAATCAAGGCAATTTGCCAATAACGAAAATGGTAAAACAATTAGGATTTAATTTGCAAGTTTTCCAGCTGCACATTTCCGCTAGAGCTTTCAGTCATTGACAACTTCAGCTGAGCAGCCAAGAAGTCGCCAGCCAAAACGGGATCAGCCGCACGGCCAAGTCCATGTCCATGGCCGGGCTAAATCCATTTGTCCAAAAAGCATTACAGGGACTTAATTTAAAAGTTTGCTACACTTGGCTGACTGAAACAGCTGCAGGAAAAGGGGAGCGTGTGGGCGAAATGGACAATTAAAGCACATGCAGCAAATGAACATTTTTAACTTAATATAGAAAACGATTCGGTGAATGAGTTGAAACAGAGTGAACTGCTCTATGCTCGACCCTTTTTCATACTCTTTCTGTGTGAGAAAATATGTTATCATTTTTGATTTCCGGTCACACGCATATCACCTCCTGTGTATATATTATGTTAAATTAAGTTTAAAACGCTTTTAACAATTCAAGAACATTTTAATGCTTACGAAATCGTAGAGTACTGCTCGTGGGCATACAAGTCCTAAAATTTTACGGATTTTTAAAATTTGAGGTGCAGCTGAAGAACAAACTGCAGCTGCTAAAGTGCTGCAACTGCGAAAAGTTTGGCGGAAAGAGCACATTAATTAGAAGCTGCCACGCTCGGCAGACATGCGTCCAGGTGCCTAAAAAAGTTGCCAACGTGCAACATGTTCGGGAGGAAGGGATCCAAAAAAGTTTTTTGGTTTGTTGCGTTTGTGTTTGACTCGCAGTTAAAGTTGATTTTTATATGCACATACTTACACGGAAAAAATTATATTTATTAAGAAAGTTGAAGTTAATAATATGATTCATTACCCTTACATAATATTGGATAGAATTATTTAGATTCGGAATGGAACCGAACATAAATAATTCTATCCAATTATTTTGTTAATATCTCTTGAGAAATAAACTAAGTGAAGAAGTATATATTTATAATTTACTTAGCTCAGAACATATCAAAACATTGAACATTTTTTTAACTTTCTGATGTGCACCTTTTTTTTGCTTTCGTCGAATTGGCTCAGAGAGTTGCTTTTAATTACGGCCATGCGTCAGGCACTCAAAACATCCCAAGATGGGTGGATTAAGTTCAGGAGGAGGTGTAACCGGGTGGTGAGGGAGCTGCGAGCGCATCGGCGGAAAATGCATTCTGCCAGCCAGCATCATTAGCCTTCACTAGTTGTTAACTTTTAAACGTAACGTTTCATTTTCGTTAAAAGGGTCTTCAGCGAAAATGTGAAAATTATTTAAGAGCTGTCTGATAGGTGAGAAAAAGTAAAATAAGTGCAGGCGGTCCATAGTGGCCAGTTATAAATAACGTAATCTTCACGCACGTAATTCAAATGTGGCGGATGGGCGGTTCTCGGTTGCGTCTCATTTAGCGCACGTAACCAAATAATGACCAAAATGATGCTACTCGTTGATGGCCAACACGGCGTATACATAATGCTGCAAGGCCAGCAGCGGGGGTGAAATGGAGAAAAAAGTAAACTGCGTGCGTATTGTAAATAAAATAAAATGTAACGTAACGAAGCGAAATGTTTTATCAACGTGCCGGAGCGCACTAAACAGAGGCTACACTGACCGAAACAATGTTATTATTTTAAACAAGTGTTTCTTGTTCTGTTGCTGTGTGAATATCCAACCTTTACTTAGTTTCGAACTTTGAATATTTCGTATCAATGCAAATTATTTCATTCGAAGTAAGTCCTGAGCCGATAATCATGTGTAGGGTGGCTTGTGATAGATTTGTACCCCTTGTGTGGGCCCGTATCGGTCGAAATTTCTCCCAGTGCCGCTGCTTACCCGCCTGCTCCATGATTTCAACCACTGACAAATGGCACGCTGACCAAAGTGGCGACTGTTGTGGGCTGCGGCCATTCCCTGGAATCGGGCTTTGTCTCCCTTGCTGATTATCGCTTCTGGTCCATGTGATACTTGTTTTTGTAATTGTTTTGCTTTGTCGTAAATGGAGAGCGAAACGGGAAGATAGATTGCAATTGCTACAGGCCATTACCAGGATAAAATCAGGGGGGAGGCGTACAAATTTCTTGTCATTAAATTAAAAATAAACGACAATATTTTATGCGCCTATAAATATGCAGCAAAAGGAAAAGCGCTTGTCTCACAAACGGAAAGTGAGCAGCTGTTGTTATTTATTTATGCGATTCCTGGCTGTAGTTACATGCTTTAATGTCTTCCTTATGCAGGCCTTCGGCTCCGAGTCGTCCAACTGCACAGGTGTATGTCCGGAAAAAGCGGGAAAAGGGTAGGAGTTGTCTAAGCCGGACACAGAAGAATTTATATCTGTTAGAAGCATGAACAACATGCTAGTGTCTCGTAAATTATGATTTACTATTGGCAGGGACGGCTTAGAAATTGATATCTTGCAGATGCATCAAGCAGCTAGCTTAGAAGAATGATTCATCGAAAGTGTTGTAAGCCAAACAATTGGTCTCAAAAAAAAGCTGTCGCCCCCAGTTAGGAATATTTTATTTTCCGAAGTCGGTCTATACTCTGCCGTATTAAAAATTCAAAAAGGCTCGAAATTGAAATTTGAATTTAATTCTCAAGGGCTTGTACAGTTCAGTCTTAAGCTTACTCCGTTGCCATCAGAGCCCTCGGGTGCTATCTCCAATTTGGTGTGCTGAAATGGCTTCTCCTCCGGCTCCAGTTCCCGCTGCGACTCCTTGGACTCGTTCCACGGCTGGGTCACGGCAGTGCCCCAAATCAAGAAAATCACATTCCCAGCAAAGAGAACTCCGGCAGCAAGGCCGAAGACCACCTGCCACTGGTTGCGTTCCCTGGAGTCCGTGACCAGAACGCCCACCACGAGGGGCGTCAACAGAGCCATCAGGTTGGTGAGGCTGCTCATGAGACCGGCCAGAATCCCGGCATGGTTGGGCGACAAGTCAATCGTGTTCAGCTCGCTGCCAATCGTGGCTGCACTGCTCACGCCCACACTGAGAGTGACCAGCACGAGGACCAATGTCTGCTGCCCCTCCCCAACGAAAACCAGCGCCAGCATTATAGAGGCCGGTGCCCAAAGGGCTATGCTCGTGTAGGTCTTCCTTAGCGCCGTCAGGCTCATCCACTTCTTGTGGAGCAGTACATCGGCAATGACCAGGTAGACGTAGCACATGACCCACATGAGCAGGAAAGGAAGCGCGCTGTAAACGGCGTTGCTTCTCATATCCAGACCTAAGACGCCGCTCAAGTAGCTCGGTAGTTGGGTCTGCATGGTGGTTAAACCCCAGCTGTCGGCACAACGAGCGCAGAGTAGGGCGTAGACTGGCACTGAGGTGAATATGCCCCTCCAGGGGATCTCCATTTTCTTGGGCTCCTTACTCTCCGATCGCCGGAGATCGCCCACAATGAGGGACTTCTCCGCCTTGCCGATAAACCTGGCCTCCCCGGCCGTGTTGGCTCCCAGAAGCAGCCAGAGGACGCACCAGACCAGGCCCAGGCCGGCAGCCGAGTAGCTGATGCCCGGCCACCCCAGCGAGGAGCTGGCCACCATGCCCGCCCCGTACATGGCCAGCACGTTGCCGCAATCGAAGCCCGTGTAGGCAAACGCTCCCAGACGGGTTCGCTCCGCCGTGGGACACCAGTTGGCCAAGTGCTGGTGTATGCAGGGCCAGGTCACCTGGCACAGCCCCTGCAGCAGGCGCACCACGCAGTACGCCTTCCACCCGGCTACTGCAACCGCGTGGGTGGTGAGGGCACTGAGCAGGGAGGACACCAGAGTGCCCCAGAAGAGAACAGCCTTGGAGCCGAAGCGCTTGCACAGATAGCCGGCGGGGAATTGGGCCAATGCGCAGCCCCAATAGTAGCTAGACTGGATGTACGACTTCTGCGTCTCCGTCCAATCGTAGAGCTAGAAGAGTGGGGTGGCAAACGATGAGCGGGGGCTTGATGCTGCCTTTTTGCTTACCCACGGGCGTGTTGCCATCGTTCGATCGTGTTCCATTGGTCATCGCCACCACAGCCACGTTCACGTTCAGCTGCAGAACTGTGTTGGCCGCCAGTCCATAAAAGAGGAGACCCGCTTGCAGGTGTCGCAACCCCAGGCGTGGCACTACTCAATAGAATAAAATAAAAAGATTTTGTGGGCGGATTTTGTTCGGTCTTACCTTTCTCATAAACTTCCTCTGTGTCAGTCATTCTTTCAGTTTGAAGTGAAGTTTGTTCTTTGGTTCATAGACAGCCCCTATACAAATTGGAAAGGTTAGTGGGACTATACGATAATTGTATTTAGATGGAGTACTTATTCCCTTGCGCATTAAGTGGTTAATTCTAATAAAGAAAACCTAAAATAAAAATATTGCTCTTTTCCAGAAAACTTGTACAAATTTTTAGGTACTTTATACTAAAGACTATTACAATTTTCAATAATTTAGTCGTTAATTTAAAAAAGGAAAAGCAACAATCCAAATATTTCAATTTTCAGAACAGATTTTAAAAAATTTCAGGTAGTTTAGTTATTTAGTTATTTTAGTTGTTTTCTGATAAAACCTAATGAACTGAACTTCTTGGAAAATATTTGTAGTATTAATAATATAAATGCGATAAGCGTTTTTATGAAAGCTTAAGCTGGAAATGAATAGTATAGCGGGAAATTAATAGTAATGACTAACTGAGAATATTACCCTGACATTAGTGGTTATAAATCTTAAACTATTATAATGACTTAAATAGCAGAGCTTTCAATTGGCATCACATATAATCAGATTGATGGGAAGGGCAACAACAAACCGAACTTTGGAGATATTCGCTTTCGAGTCTGATGCCAGATACAATTCGAGAAGAGCTGCCGATGTGGATACTGTTGCACTTTGTCTGGGCAAACACACACATCGCACACACCCCTCACTGCCCTTGCCCGGATATTGCTTCCATGAAATTCTCTTGTTTGTTATTTTAGATATTTTTCGGGTTTGTTATTTTTCCGATTTTTTGCTGTCTGCGTTGTTTGGCAATCTGCCTGAGCTCGAGTTTCGTTCTTAGTTGGTGTGCAAATTTCCCAGATAATATGAAAGAAAATAAAAGCAAACGTAAAAAAATAAAAGGAAAAACTGAATTTAAATCTCGGAATTTACAATTGTATCAGTGCAGCTAACAAGATACTTTTTGGTGCCACCCAAAAGCACTCCCACACTTTTTTCAATTGTTCTAATAGTTGCCAACGTGTGGACGACTGCCAATCGTCAAAAGTTGGGTGGTTTTCTGGCGGTGGGTGGTGGGTGGTGTGGCTGTCCATCTATAATGCCGCTCAAAATAAAAACTGTGACATAGTTTACAAGATTCGGGGAAGTGTGTAGAGCTTGAAATATCCTATACTAGACAAAGTTTATTATCCGTTAGAAAATGAATTTGATTAATAAATAAAAATAATTTTTAAGAACCTCTAAAACCCAATGTCAATACAACAATAATATCAGAATTTAAATAAAAAAATATATACATTTTTGATTGCCTTGCTAAGTTATTTGACATTCTTTATAAATGATGACGATTACATATAAACTCAATGACTGTTAATGACATAATTAAATGGCATAGAGAAGAACAGAGAAAATTTAATGAGTTCATATTCTACATTTTTTTTTATTTTCTTTATAAAAGTTTGCATGGATTGCTAAAAAAAGAAAGATATTTTAAAGTACTTTTTTTAATCCAGATCTGAGAAATTTAATTTAATCATCCAACAAATTAATCTACTTTTTCTATACATTCTAAAAGAGTATGGAAGACAATGGATTTTCTAAATATATAAATACAATTATATTCTATTAATACACATTTAAATTAATAAGTTTAGAAGCTGATAAATGTAAAAATAATCTTGACCTGCTTGCCACTTCGGATATGTATTTTTTTACAATCATACATATGTATATGTAGAACCAAGTTTAATAACAATCTTACTCTGCCTAGTGACAATATATTTTTCAAAAGTTTTGGATATAATTAGAATTATAATGTGTTATTACGAAAACGTGAAACTGCATCACTTAAACATGTGTAAATCCTATTAACACGTGTCTCTTAGTAAGCAATATCTTGTTAAAATGCTAGATAATCAAGAGCACGATATTCCCCTCAATTTAGTAGGTAAACGGGCGCAAAGCAAAAAACAATCAATTCAATGCGTTGAGTGTCCTTGTGTGCGTATTTAGATTTCAATGTGTGTGGCATATTTTTTTGGGCCCATTCTGCAAATATTTTTGCATTCGAATGTTTTGAGTAAAATATTTGTCGAAATTTTTCAAATTACTTAAATTTTATTTTGCTCCCCTCTCTTTATCTGAATTTATAAAACCAAATCTGCAAACACTTCACATTTTAAATCAAACAAATATGCAACAATTCATTTGCGGGAATTTGTATGCCATCCGAACACATTGTTACACTCGCTATAAATAAGTTGTAAATTCACTTGTCAACCGAACCTTTTTATTGCTGTGTACTTTAGTTTTTCTATTAATATCTGATTTAATTGGGTTTTGTTTTGCTATGTTTTCCGACCTGTTTTCAGCGTGCCGCGTGCTGTTTGCGCTCTGTTTCGATTTCGATTTCTGTTTCTCTTTCAATTTCGATTCTATTTTCTATGATTCTGCGATCGCGGGGTTATTAGCTTCCAACGCCGAACTGCTCCCGCTGGCGATTGGCGCTCACTAGACTCATGCGACGGCTAGTCATTTGTAATTGCTCCCCGTCAGTGCCAGCAATCCAATCTGAGAGCCGCCATCGCAAATGGAAAGAGCAGCCGTAGAACTCTCTTTCTCAAAACAACAAAAACGTTTTTATTCTGCTTTCGTGCCTGCTCCAAAACACTAGCAGTGCGTCACTGATCCCCACAATTCCGAAAATATTTATCACTTGGAAGAGTTCCACGTGGGAACTCTTGGAACTTTTTGTGTCACCCCAGAAGGCCTCCTAAATTCACTGCTTAGCAATGAAAAAACTCACCTATTGTCGGAGATATCACTTGTCGTCCATGCTACTTGTCTGTGATAGAAAATTTATTTAATTTTTAATTTATGAGAAAAATAACTACAAATGCAGAACAACTTTTTTTCGCTAAAAAAACTATTGATTTGACCGGAGTGTGTCGATTTCCCTTATCTAAATGAAAAATGTTTACCTTAAGATTTTTTTTATCAACTTCGGCTCCGCCCGAAGTTAGCTTTCCTTTCTTGTTTTTATTGCCCTTGGATACATTTTTATAGGTTACACATTTTTAATCATGGTAATTTTTTCATGAACATTCTGATTTTAACATTGACATTATTATTTAAGAAAGATGTTTAGTTTTGAAAGGACAACACGTTGTAATTACTAGAAACAAATTTGGTTTACAGTAATTTTTATGACTCGCGAAAAAGTCAGTTAGGCTTTTATTATTTATTGTTGTTACCCCGGCGCCACAAGCTAAATGTTATGTTTATTGAGCTCATATTACCGAACTACGTATGCTATATGAATTTAATGAGTAAATACTTGTCACAGATTTTAGAAAATAAAAATCAAGATTTAAATTTATTTTTTTACGGCATCAGTTAAAAGTCGAATGGAAAATGAAAATCTGAGCACAGGTTGGAGTCTTCACTAAAGGCAGTGATCGTGGTAGGGATATTTACTAATACTTTTTGAGAACGTTTGGTATCTTTTAGCGGGCGCGAAAATGCTGTCAACGGGTAACCGGTTACACTTAGCGGGTAAAAAGAGAGCCGTTAGAGAGGAGCGAATGGAGGAAAAAATGCTCTAACGCCAGCGAGCAGCGATAGTCCCGAGAAGCAATCGATGAATCGAACGCACCATCGATGTTTCCCCACTCCTAGCCAATACGCGATCATTTGTTTTTGTTGCTGCAGCGAAAAGTGAGCGGCTCGAGTTAAACATTTAATCGTAGCGGTAAATGCAAGTGCAGTTGGAAACTAAATTCAATAAAAATTCAGCGATCTTCGGTTTTGCATTCGCTTGGTCTTCCCTGGAAGTTACCCAAAATCACTAAATCTGTGTTCAATGAGTGCCCAAATCATCGACTCGACGAATAAAAGCGAAAAGGAGGTGAGCGAACAAAGCTCTTGCCGCCAAACGAGCAGCTGACGAATTCGTGGGAATAAACGTGCGCAATTATCGCCGGATAATAGTCGGACTTGCGTTTTGTGTCACTGGAAGTGGAAGTGCCGCCTGTACGCCCAGTTTTAATTTGACATTCGGACTCTCCTTTGTGCTTCGTTTCGGTCCCGTTCCGTTAGTTTTAGCTTTTCGTGTTCTTCTCTGCTCCTTCTTCGCGTGCTTCGTGTTTTTGGTTATTGTCTCGCGGCGGATCGGTGGTTAAGATCCTTTTGGTGGATCAGCATTCGGTGGTGCGATCACCTGGTCAGCGGACTGGACTCCACCGGTGGGTCCAGAAAAAGGGAAAACAAAATCACGCGGCGCGGTCCTCTTTAGTGGTGGTGTGTTTTGTCGGGTCTTTTTATTTCAGCACTGTACGCAGTACAGTGGCTGTCGCAAATTAAAATTGTCAATTGTCAATAAAATATATTTTAAAAGGATGTAGGAAATTGAAAACATTCATTCTGAGTGCTTCAATTTATTTTTGGATTATCGCATATTTAAAAAGTAATAGTTCCGTTAAGTTCCTTTAATACTAAATACAAACTCAATCGTATTTGATTAAGAAGAAGAAAACCGAGACCATTAAATAAATAAAATAGAGCTTAGAGAAGAAGAAAATCAATGAGACAGTTTTTTCAGCTTTTCAATATAAAATTATGAAGATTACATTGCATTTTTACAAAAATAATATATGTAAAATTTTTAAAAATGTCTCACCATTTAAGAGGGATTTTGTTTGTCAACCGAGTCTCGTGTGCTAAAAAACGTAATATCCCTTATTTCCTTTTTTGTCGATTGCGATGCAGTGTTTATATATTTTATTTGCCAAGCCCCTCGACTCCGTTGTCGTCCTGCCTGGCTTCTTTTTTAAAACGTGTCTAAATTATCAAAGTGTATAAATCACAAAACACATTTTGTACGTTTTACGTTTAAATTGGATAAGAAATTAAACGGATAACAAAAATTAACCCAAGAGAGCAAGTTGCTGCCTTCTCACTGATTTGTAAGTCGATCTCTCTCACTCTCCCAAATTTTCCCTGCCTATTTTGTATTTACCTCTTATTGTACCTATCTCTGTTTATTTATACATTTTTATCATTACTGCTTTACTGCTCTGGACTGCCAGTTTCCGAATTCGGACTTCCAGCTCTGTTTACCTGCAGCCCCCACGCACTCTATAACTTCCTCTCTGTCCCTTGATCTCGCTATCTCTCTCATGCACCTTTTGTCCGTGATTGCGCATTGTTAATTCACAGTTTTCGACCATTTAATTTTTACCCTATATTTGTTGGGAATATAGAGTATCCCATTAATACATTGCAATGAGACATAAGCCTTAAGGAATGTGTAAAATTGTCTTTATCGATTTGTGTATGAGAATAAGAATTTTAAATATTTTAGATACATGTTTGATTTTTAATTTAATGAAATTTTTATTGGAATATATCCGAAATGCAGTATACGTAGAAAAAAAGGTTTAATTTAAAATTAAATATTATTTTTGAATTGAAATGAATAAAATTGTGTAACCTCTTTTTTGTATGAAATCAAGTAGCGTTCTTTAAGGGGTTACATCCAGTTAGACAGCCGAAACAAGTCGATATTTTAGGAATTTTTTCTGGTAAAACTATGGAGTATTTTAGTTCACAAATTAATGCACATATAAAGAGTACTTTTAACTTTATTTTTGCATAGTTTATTTATAAAAATTATTTTTTTTACACCTTGTATAAAATATTTTATGGAGCTCCTTCGAATCGAGACTGCTAGCGGTGAGCACGTTATTTCTCAACTGGATTATCTAAAATTAAAAATCAATGATTTTTTCGTTAATATAATACATTATCTTGTGATTAATCGAAGGAATAGACAAAAAAATAATTTTTAACAAAATGGCGCCTTCAGAAAGCGAAAGTATCAATTTTTGACAAAAATTCACGACATCAATTGTTTATAAAATGAAAAATATTTATTGTAAAAAAAAAACCTTCGATTAATCACTAAACAATATTATTAAGAAGCTTGTGTTAAAATCTGAGACCGATCGGTTCAGCCGTTTTCGAGAAATCTTGCTCACCGACTTTAAAATCATAGTTTTGAGAAAAACGCATTCAATTTCGACGGTCCGCTTCCAGTCGCTCCGACACATGCATGTTAATTTTAATATAACTTGGGAAATATTCATCGGATCACCCTGAAATTTTTTCAGGGTACTCTTAAATAAATATACTTTACGAAAATGCAATAAAAAAAAATCGATTTTTTCAAAATCCTAAGTGGATGTAACCCCTTAAGTAAAGCCGAAGGGGTATCGAACGGTATGATTGATGCCCCAAATTACTCTAGAACTTTCGAACTACTTGCTTAAATGTCATTATATGTATGTCAATATCACCACCAATTGCACTTTATAGCCCAAACCGATCTTTCATTGCTTACACTTTTTCACCCTCTACAAATTCGATGCCCCTTAGTTTTCTCCCTACAACCTTTCGTTTGCTACGGTATTGGTTTTCGCTACACCTCTTTCTCATAATTTCTCTGACTCATTGGCATGCTCAATGTAATTTTCATAATATTTGTAACTGTGATCCTCTCTTTTTGCACCTTTGCGTCGTTATTCTGGTCGCTTTGCTTTGCTTCGCTGTGGTTTTGTGGCTTTGACCACACATACACCTGACTTTGACTGCTGCTACGTGTAGGTTTTTCATTTTGTTGACATTTTTGAGCTGACATTTCGCCTGCGGCTTGGGCATTGGTTCCCATGAGAACTAAGGATTGAGTATGTTTATTCGGTTTAATTTCACACGTGATTTAAAGTAATTCCACCTTTTTTTAAAATATTGGAACGCGGTCGGTGAAAATTTGTAAAAGAAAATTGTAAAACCTTTTTTTAAGAATATCAGAAAAATTATTGACAAAACTAAAAAAAAACTGTTGGGTTATAGTTATATTTTTTAAAGCAATAGCATTGAGTTTTATATACTCAAAAATGTAATGGGCCATAGATAAGCTTTATTAAATTATTTAAATTTGTGTTTCCAACTTTTGGAAAACCGTTAATTAGCGATTCTGCATTTTTTCATAATTCCATTCGCCTTACGATTTTATGCAACCTACTCACTTGCTCTCGAGTTGCACTCTCTGCGAGTCGTGTTCATTTAAAAATAAAAGCTAACGCAAAAATACACATGGTTCCAGTGTCGTACAACTAGCGCCGTTATTTTAGACACAAACGACTCATTTAAGAGTGCTTGGACAGGGATATTGGGTGCCGAGAGGTGGCGGGGCAGTTGCAGGGCGACGCGACGTCGAGTCGAGCGTAATTTGCAAACAAAAAGCCATTAAAATATCAAATTAGCGTCTGGCTTTGGCTCCGAGTGCGGGATTTAGTGGAAGTCTCCAATTGTCGTCGACGCCAGTTTGCGCCTGCCACGCCGCCTCTACCGCCTTCCTCCTCCGCCGTCCACAGCTCCACCCCTGTACATTTGCTTGTGTTCTCACATCGCATTGTGCAAAATCGAAAGTAAATGAAATGTAGCTTCCAGCATGTGCTGCGTTCAGTCATCAATTTGTTGATTAACAGTTGTCAGTCCTGAACCCACCGCCATTCGCCTACCACCCACTGCCCTCCCTTAAATTATTCTCAGTCCGATAAAAGTCGCGTGTGTTTAAAGCACTGTGAGAAATAATCACGCAAAGGGGTTTTTAATTCGGTACTTTTTAGTTATGGTTAAAGTATGCCAAAGGGTGTAACAAGTAGAAGCGATGCCCACACAAATTGTATATCAGGACCAGGATCTCAGTCAATATTGTCTAAGTGCCTTGCAGTTTTCTGATTGCACAAACTTAATTATCAGAGCGGTTTGTTAGTTACCTTCATCAGTTATTAAAAGAAATGGTTTTTTTGCCCGCCACGAAAGTCTCGTTTGCTGTTTCTAGATAACCGAATTTACACGCCCCGTTGAAATCCATTTGTTTCATTGCCAAGGCTAAATGCGTGCCGCAATAAAACTTCATTAAAAACAAAAGAGAACAGAACCGAAAGCTGAAACACGTTTTACCTGTACTGCAATCCAAACTGAGTCACTGGGTTGAAAGAACTTCGCTGGGGATGAAGCGAGTACAAAATGGTTATTTGAAATATACAGAAAAGTCAAACGGCAGCAATCAAATCATCAAGGGAAAATTTATGACGGTCACCCAGACCCCTTGCAAACTGCGCCGAGAATAAATCCGGACTGAAAGATATCTCGATCAATGGGTTGGATCGTTGTGGCAGACAGAGACGTCTTCCTGCTCCATATTTGGCTAAGCTGCCATCTCGCTTTCGCCCCTGCGAAAAGTTCTGGGGCCACGCTTGCGCGTTTTGCCTTGGGTTTTGGTTTGTTTCTGGCGTTGTTGTGTTGTTGTACGCGTACCCTTCCCTACTCGTAGTTATACCCAAACGCGTTTCATAAATTATCAAGTTGAATGCCCAGTTTCGAAATTTCAACGGGCCTGACCTTGAGCACAAATTTTCGGAGCTTCGGGCTTCGCTCTCGTGTTTTTAAGTGTTTGCGATTGTATCTGCATTCATATGGTTTTAATACTCTATATTCAATTAGGGTATACTGAGCTGCTGGTTAAGTAATAATAATAATAAGTCACAAATAAACAATTATCTGCACCATTTCACCACCGAATTGTTTACAAAACTGTACTTTTAAAATATAATTTTTAAAATGTATATAATGCAAACATTGTTAATTTATGATATCCTTTTATTTTTGATAATTTAACATATATATCATTAAAGTTTTTTAATATGTATCTTAAGGAAAGGCTTAATAGAGTGAACAAGATTTTCATATGTGGGGTATATTGTATTCGGAAGAATTATGTGTGTCATTAGTTTGTAAATGTGTGCTGTTGGATAGCTTTGAGCTCAGTTCTCTTGTAGTTTCTCCATTTGCGTTTTTCTCCAATCTGTGCTTTCATGCGTTGCGATGACTGTCGCGCTCTCCATGCTTTTGTTACAGTCTGTTTATCACGGCTCATGGCTTATGGCTGGGAGGAAAACAGTCGAAAGGGTCAAAAAATCTAAAAATTGAGAGACAAGTGCGCAAAGTCTTTTCGCTTTGCTTAATTAACGCAGCCATACAAATTAACTAACGCACATGCGTAACCCAAAACAAAAAACTCGGACAGACAAGGCGGATATGGTCCGCTTTAAGATGATTAATGCTTATTTTTTCCAACTTTTCTGTTTAAACTTGTCCCTCTCTTACAATACAAGCAGAAAAAGTGCGTAAGTCTCTTAACTGAAACTGGTTTGAGCCCTTGAATTTGGCAATCCAAACTAGCGGGAAGGTCGAAATGATTAGGATTGATGGAATGAACTTACCCATTTGAAGTAAGAAAATTTCAATAAATAAGAAATAACATTATGTCATAAAACATAAAAGTCACACTTGGTAAGAAAAAAACATCGCAGAAACCCTTATCGTCATTATCAAGTCATCTAGTTGGTAGGGGCCAGAGAGAAAACATTCATTGAAATATGGTTGATGGATCAGTTTTGTTTGGCCTACTCGACGCCGAATTTTGGGTGGCAATGCGTCGATTTGTTAATGTGGTGATGTGCATGCAAATGAACACAGCCCATCAGTATCATGATGATTCGGGCTGTCATATTATGGGGCGTTTTGTGGCATGTGTGTGGCATGCATCATTGGGGAGATTTGCTGCATAATAGACCGCTCAAATGGCCCGTAAACTGACGGACACATCAATTGAGCAAGGTGACGATTGCCGTATTGTCACTCACTGTATCATCGACGGGGAAGTCCCCTTTGAAAGAGTCTATTGTGTTAATTACACTTAAAAAAAAGGAAAAATAATTTAAAATGATTCATTGCAGTATTTGAATCTTATATTATAACTCATATTTCTAAGTGTACCATTTATTTTTTATCAGACTACAGTCTGCTTATGTCAAACACAAGCTTGACAACTTAAATA